CATTAACATCACCACAGTTAATGCTGGAGATAATGTGTGTGTACACCTGTGTTTGAAGTTTAAAGTTAACAGTGAGTATTTGTATTGTCTTTAATTCCCAAATATTGATGTAACTAAGTCTCAAAAGATAAGCACTGTGTTTTTAAGAACATACCTGACTGTGTCACAGTCTTGCATAACAAACTCGTGCATAAACACTTTCACATTGACTCAATTGTCTTGAATTGATGCAAAGCTAAGATGAAATTCTCAGGAACGTGATGGCCTCCTTCTTAGGAAAACGCCACCAGCTCTTGTGATAATTACATTTGTCTGTCTTTGCTACAGGTGGATGACTATCATGGAAACAAGATCTGTGATGCGTATGCATGGCTGGAGGACTCGGATAGTGCAGAAACAATGGTTTGTTTAACTAGTTTGCACAAACACATGTACACACAGGCTTTTTCTTCACCTGAAATTCCTCAAATTTGCATCCGTCCTGTCTCTTTTTTTTTCTTTCTTGTGTGTCTCAGGCCTTTGTGGAGGAGCAGAACAAAGTAACCATGCCGTACCTGGAGCAGTGCGCCGTGCGGGCTCAGTTCCAGCAGCGTCTCACTGAGCTTTACGACTATCCCAAATACAGCTGCCCTTACAAGAGAGGGAACAGGTTGGTACTACTACTTCCAATTTACTGAAACTGAAACGCTGTGACACGTGAACGTGGCTGACTTGATTTGCAGATCTAGAACAGTAAAAAAAGGTTTTAATTTTCTGCTTTTTTTTTTATAGATATTTCTACTTTCATAATAAAGGTCTCCAGAACCAGGATGTGCTGTACGTGCAGGACTCTCTGGACGGGCCTGCAACTGTATTCTTTGACCCGAATAAACTCTCTGAAGATGGCACTGTGGCTCTAAAGAGTAAGGGCACTCACACTTTGCAACCCGTACCGTGCCCGAGCACTATGACCCCCCAAAGTCCAGGTCGTGTTTAGTTTAGTTTATCACTTTATTTGAATCAGGGACAGTGCACAAAAAAAAAATTCCATCCGTTGTGTGGCTAGTGCGAGTGCTCTGCAACATGCAGAAGCACGATATGCTTCCTTTGGCCCTGACACAGGTGGAAGAGGTGTGCTTTTGGCACGGCACAGCTGCTCATGCAAGAACACAAGCACGGGAGCAGTGGACGAGGACATGACGTATATTCCATTCCCCACCTTGTATTAAAGAGAAATCCATGATGTAAGAGGACTGTATCTGGAAAAAAAAGGTCTCAAAATAAACCACAAAGTCAGTGAAGCTGCAGTTGTGCTCTCTGTGCAGCTATCAGTCTGTGGCTTCTATTACAGCAGCAGAAATGTTTCTTTCATGGTTCTCAGTGCTCGAGTTGATATCATGAATCAGTCAAGCTACACTTAGATGTAAAATTACAACTGAACATTGTGTTTGTTTTTATCGTCACACCTTTAGACATGATCAAACTTCAAATATTACATTTCCTCACTTGGAGAGTCCCGCGCTCCTGTGCCAGGCCTGCAGCACTACACGTCAGGTGATGATGTGCTCGGCCTGTTTGGGCCTGGAGTAGTTTGAGTGCAGGCCAGTGGGGGAAACGGGAGGGGGGGCTAATCGTGTGTCGGTACTGTACCAGACAACCGTGCCAACTGAGTCATGCAGCAGTGCACCTTTCCCTGCACATAGTATTATATAATTATTTTATGCATGTAGAAGTAAAAAAAAAAAAAAAGACATAGAGTTTCCATACCTTGTCCTTCTCTCCCTCCAGTGGGCCGTCTGTCGGAGGAGTGCGAGTACTTTGCGTACGGTTTGAGCAGCAGCGGTTCAGACTGGGTGACGGTGCGTTTCATGAAGGCTGATGATGACCTCACACTCCTGCCGGATGTTCTGGAGAGGGTTAAATTTAGCTGCTTGGCCTGGACTCACGATGCCAAGGGAGTCTTTTACAACTGCTACCCGCGCCAGGAAGGAAAAACAGATGGTGAGTAAGAATAAAAAAATAAAACATCTCAGTATTTTATAGCTGTTTATATATCTCAATATGTTGTTCTGTGAAGAAATAACAAAAGCAAAGTCAAATCCACATGGGCTGAATGTCACACAGGCACTCTTATTATCAGCCAGCTGCACAATGTCAACATGTACATGACAAACAACATCAAATATACAACCTGTTAGTGAAAAGAAAAGAAGATTAGAAAAAAGATGCAGCTGTGTATTTTGTTATGAAGGTGTTTTTTTTTTTTTAAGTGTTTCTGAGCGAGGGAGAGAGGCGCAGCAGGGTGAAGAGGGAGAGACACTGAGAGGAGAATAAGTCAAACTGGCGGCTGTATTTGGACGCAGCATCAACTTTATCAACATAAATTATATTGCCTTACGCTATATCTCGTTTGAAATTACATCGATATTTCTTATAAACTTGATTTACTGTACCCAGCCCTACTTTAAAAGAAAACCATTCACGTGCAAAGATTATAACAACTGCGATCAACTGAACCTCTCTGTGTTTCACTAAAGGTACGGAGACCACCAGCAACCTCAACCAGAAGCTCTACTTCCACGTCATCGGCAGCCAACAGTCCGAGGACATTCTGGTTGCGGAGTTCCCTGATCATCCTAAGTGGCACAGTTCAGCAACCGTGAGTCCATAGTTATCTATGATATATGATGTGTTATTGTCATCACACATCTTCTAAAGCTTCATTAGAGCTTACTTTAAAGGTATGTTGCAGAATTACATGCAGCAAAAACTCCTCCTAGAAATGTGGGGTGGTGAAATGAAATCCATCCATCCATTTTCTACAACTTATGAGGTCGGGTCATCATGGCAGCAGGCGCAGTAAGTCAACCCAGACGTCCCTCTCCCCTGCAACGTTTTCCAGCTCCTCCTCCTGGGGGATTCCGATGTATTCCCAGTCTAGATGGGATATATAATCCCTCCAGTGAACTCTGGGTGTGCCCCGGGGTCTCCTCCCGGAAAACCTCCAAAGGGAGGGTCCCAGGATGCATCCTAATCAGATGCTCAAACCACCTCAACTGAAATAAAAATTCATGTTACTATAAAACGCTCTCCTACAAGGAGCACCCAGAACTGCTGTTCTTTTTTGAAGATTTATTTTATTTTATTTTATTTTATTTTATTTTATTTTATTTTATTTTATTTTATTTTTATTTTTATTTTTATTTTTATTTTTTTTATTTAATTTAATTTAATTTTTATTTAATTTAATTTAATTTTTTTATTGTTATTTTTTTTTTGTGTGGCTTTTTATGCCTTTATTAAGAGACAGGACATTGAATAGAGTCAGAAATCAGGGGCGAGAGGGAGAGGGGGGAATGACATGCAGGAAAGGAGCCACAGGTCCGATTCGAACCCGGGCTGCTCGCCTAGAGGACCATTGCGTCTGTACGTGAGGTGCTCACACCAACCACTAGTCCACCGGCTCATTCTACTGAGCTGGAGTTATTATCTGGCCTGGTTACTTAGGATGAGTTCATAATCCATCCATAGAGATCAGTGAACAGTGTAGAAAAGACTTCCATTCTGAAGAGTCGTGTGTGTTTTCCAGATCTCAGACGATGGCAGGTATGCTGTTCTTTCCATCACTGAAGGCTGTGAGCCCGTCAACCGGCTGTGGTACTGCGACCTAAAGGAGCTCCCCGACGGAATCACAGGTTGTGGAAAATGTCCGACTCAGATCTAAGCACCTCATAGACAAAACACACTGATATTTTCTTTAGAAGCAGAATCACAGGAACAGAAGGAAGTCAGAGGCCTGTGTGTGACTTCTGATGACTTCATTAAGATAAGATAACACTTTTTTTTGTTGTTGCAAGAAAATGTGTCTCGCACAACCAGCTCAGATCACAGTCACATCACATGTAAAAGACAGAAAAGTAAAAACAGCAAAAGTTACCAGCATTACTATCTGCACCAGAGAGATCCTTGTGGTTGCGTGTTTGGTGTGTGTTGTACATTTCATGCTAATAATGTAGCTGCTAAAGGAGTTTGGAAGTTAACATGTGTTTTTAAAGATGGCTTCACCAGTGCTGCGGTTAACTCAAACATTCGACACCTCAGGTTCCTCTTTTGACAGAGTTCTTTGCTAAAGGTGTAGGTTCTAAGAAGTAGAATCGTTGCTGCAAAGTGTCACGTACTTTTCTCAGAATTATTATCAACATTTCTCGGGTTTGAAAAATACTTTCTCTTTGACTGTTAATGTCCACTCGCAAACCAATCCATGTATGCTTTGTATACGTTTATTTATTGTTTATTTGATGGACAAACTGAAAATATCAATCCAATGCACGTATCATAGTGTTTGTTGGGTGTACTAATTTGCAACACTTGTCCTTAGGAAGTGAGCTGTTCTTATTTTTTATTTTTTTTATTTTACAGGGACATTGCATATTAATAAACATTTCTGTAAATATGCCAGAGTTAGCCAAAAGGATAATTTTCATCTGTTGTCCCTGGCCAGATTTTATAAAAGGTTCCCTAAACAAACAAAACAAATTCAAACATTGCTAAAAGCTACAAAAACAAGTATTAGTAAAAGCACGTATCCAATAACCTACTAAAGTAACTGTAACGTGCACACAACAAAACAACATGTAACACAATATACAATAAACTCGTACAAATTACAAATTACAGAAGGCCACATAAAAAACATTGAGTGAGCTATACTTGAAGCTCACCTCAACAGACAACTAACACGCAGGCCAACAGCAATCACTGACATTCCTACACCTTCATAGCTCATCTGTATCAGCACAGGGGAAGTGGGTGACCATGCAGTGACTCAAATTACCTTCAAAAGAGATTCAGATTTCAAAATATTCATTTTTGGTCTTTATTCTGGTAAATAGAAATCTTGATTTTGACATTTTCTAATGCAAGCTGGCTGCAAAAATTTTTATTTTTGTCTTTTCCTTTTGCATGTAAAAAACATTTGAATCACCTTTAAAAATCGTCAATGACAGATCACATAATGCATCTTTTAAATTGGAGTTTTTTATTTTTTATTTTCTCCTTCAGGCCTGCTGCCGTGGGTCAAACTCGTGGACAACTTCGACGCCCAGTACTCGTACGTCACCAATGAGGGGACTGTCTTCACGTTCCGCTCCAACCTGGACGCTCCCCGGTACCGCCTCATCAACATCGACATCCAGAAACCAGACAGGCAGCACTGGACTACCCTCATACCACAGCATGACAAGGACGTCCTGGGTGAGACTAAAGGGGAATTCTGAAAAGAATATAAGTTAGAAGGTCAAGGTATCAGTTCTCTTCAGAGTAAAAGTACTGCGTCTTAAAGTTCACTCACTGTTGGCATGACAGCTGTGCTCTGTGTGTTGGAGCGTGTGAAAACTCCACCGACTTCGACGTACGCAGATGGCCAATACGTGGAGAAGTACTTCCACAAATTCAGCCCTCAAAATCTTGCACAATATTTTTTTTCGCTGAATTTCTGTCCTGTTTTGATGACAGCCCAGCCGCAAACACAGGGAAGTGGTCGAAAGCCTCCGTCACAGGGAACTCTGCTGAAAAAAGTGAAACTTGGTCCATAAGCACTTTGTCCTTACCTTTTTATTTATGACTCATTGGAGTTATGGTAACCTATGGTAAATCACTGATTCATGCAGCAGTGAATTTCCATGTTTCTGCCACATCAAAAGTATAATGAAGCACTGTAGCCTAGTTTCTAACAGAAGCAGGTGTTTCCTCAGTCGTCTGAAACTCCTCTTGTGCGCACAAAGATGTGGAGACTGGGGGATAAAAAGTAGTGAATGAAATCATGATAACACACTGATGACATTTTGAAATGTTTGGCACAAGTAGTTATAGTTAAAGACAAAATGATACTTTAATGAAAACTAGTTCATCGACATTGATTTGTGCTCTGCTTACAATGATAAAAAAAGGGATTTAAAGCTCCTAACTGTGTATGAAGTATGCTAAAAGTAACACTGATGTCTCACTATGATGTACAAAAGCAAACAGGATCATCAGCATACAGGTTTTTTCTCTATAGTTATTTTTAATAAGTGTAAATGCTTCTGCAGGGTAGGTGTCAGATAAGGGTGTGAGCAGCATGCTGCAGAATCAGCCTTTCTTTTTTTTACTTTTTTCCACAGCAAAGATTCTTGATGACTGATATGTTTGTATGATAAAAGAAAGCCGGATCTGATTTTATTTTTGTTTAAAAAAAACCCACAACATATACGTGACAGTACAAGTCAGCAAAGCGATACGATATACCACACAGCGGACCACAGGAGCTCCTAGGGAAATATGTGGTTAGTAACTTCCATAGAATCTTCCATGAAGATTTACAGATAGGGCCATGCAATAATCTCTCTCTCTCTCTCTCTCTCTCTCTCTCTCTCTCTCAGAGACCCTAATGATAAGCTTTATCTCAAAAGTCTATTCTTAAAGTTTCTGGTCTCATGTTAGTGTCAGACTCTCAATGCCATGACCAGAAAACATTTCCTGTATCTATGCAGCTCATGTGTTGGAGCTACAGTTACTCACCTGTTACTCATCATTTAGCCAATGGATACTTTGTATTTCATCAATTATACATCTGCTATCAGACCTTCACACCTTTTTCTCTTAGTGCTCTTGCTCATCAGATTGTTGAGAAAAGTAATATCAGGTTAATGATCGTCCTTTTTATGACACTGATTACACTGAAAAGAAAACCTTATTAAGAGTTGTGGTGAACAGTCATTAAGGGAAGGACGCCTCCGCATCACCACTGATTCATCGTGTGCAGCGCGTCCTGCATTGACATGTTTAACACTTACAGGATGTTAGACTGCCCCCTGCTGGCTGAGGCTAAGAATGCATCATGTTAGATTAAATTGATCCGCAGCTGATTCTTGTTTTATCTCTGTGCTCCACCTGTCACAGTGACCTCTTTAATACAAGAACCAATCATTGTTTTCATGTTCAATCCATTGACATTATATTTATATTTTTTCCCCATGATCCTGAAACGACTCCTCTAACTAAGATAAACTATGACAGTTTCAGGAAGAAGATTGTTCTTTGTAGTAACATGGAGAGGAACAAACAAAGAGCGAGGAGACTGTTGTCCTCGATTACTGCGCTCTACATAAATCCATTCTTCATGTTCACTATCCTAAACATTTCCCTCCAATATCCCTCTGCAGGCCTCGTCTCCTGCGTGAACCAGCACCATCTGCTGGTCAACTATCTGCATGACGTGAAGGACATCCTGCAGGTGTACGAGTTGTCCACCGGTCAGCTGGTCAGGTGTCTGCCGCTGGATGTCGGCACTGTTTCCGGAGTGAGCTGCAAGAAGAAACACGCCGACTTTTTCTACAAGTTTACCTCCTTCACTACGCCAGGTATTCTCTCACTTCACCACGCTCGTACAATTGATGCTCTAAACTCAAAACTTACACTACCATGAAATCATTTTGCTGACCCCACATGAGAAGGATCCATAAAACAGTTAGACTTGTCGCTTAAAGATCTTTAAAAAAAATCATCTTTGATAAAAGAAATATGAATGAAATGGTTTTCTTTTCTTACAAAAGGGATGAAAATGTTTCAGCCTTGAAGCTGCTTTGTAACAATTAGAGCCTCTAACTCGACACGGCTGCACGTTTTTGCAACTTTAGTTTCACTTCCACTTTAACATTTTGGAGCGGGCAGTTAGAATTCGTCTCACGTCAGCATCAACATTATCACAGTCACAGTGAAAGCTCATGTTGTCATAAACTGTTATGTTTCCAAGGTTAAAGGTCAAATCTGTAAGATATCTACTGAATTAAATCATAAAATGATCTTACTTAATCATAATGTTATGTTGAAGTGCTGGCTTCTCTGACAACAATGCAGCAGCCAGTATGTCCTCCTCCTTCTAAGTTTTTAATCAGGTCTGTATTTGATTTGATCAGAGAAGTTAGGCAGTTTTAAGGCACCCCCACACGGCCGTTTCAGACGCCCCTCGGTTTCTCAGGTGAACGGCTAACCAACAGGTGTTGCAGCGATGGAAGCAGGAAAGAGAAGTGGTCCAGATAGAAGTGATTGTACCCGACCTAAAAAGCCTCTGCATGTTTCTAATAAGCTCCACGAGCAGAAACGTGCTCAAACTAGGATCAATATTGGAGATGCTTTTGAAAAATGGAGAGAGGTTAGAACACAGAAAGGTTTACAGACCCATGCAGAGCTGGATAAACACTGAAGCTTCAGTGTCCACCACATGGTGACCTGAGTGAACATCCACTCTAGAGAGGTGGGGGGCGGAGTGAGACAGCTCTTTCCAATGTTTAGAATTTGGACTGCAGTACCGCTTTCAGAGTTACATATTGCTCCTTTAAAGAGAGCAACACATAAAAGACTTTCCTATCATGAAACACAGACCTAAAAGAAGAATTACCCTTAGATGGTTGACAGATTTAAATGATATATCCACAAAATTACCGAGGTGAATAAATTCATGAAAACCTGAGTTTTTTGGGGTTTGATCATCAATCAGGAATGAGTCTTTACATTTTTCAATAAATGAATAATCAGTCATTAAAAGATCCCCCTGGTTTTAAACACTCATCAACTTCTAACCTTCTAACCCAGGTATCATCTACCACTGTGATTTGAGCAAGTCCAGCCCAGAGCCCCGAGTGTTCAGGGAGGTGGAGGTCAAAGGCATCAAGCAAGACGACTACCAGACCAGCCAGGTAACGTCCCTGTTTATCCAATCTGATTTAGCAGAGCACATGTTGTTACCATCTATTTTATGTTCTTATTCCTGTTTTTATAAACACATCTGCTGATTGTACATTCCTACACTTCGCTTAAAGGACTGTTATCTGGTGTGATTTTTAAAAAAGCATAATGAGAGCTTTAACGTTTAATAACACTGACTCAAGAGGTGATGATCAAATGATTCATGTTTTATTCATCTCCTCGTACACATGCAGGTGTTCTATCCCAGTAAAGACGGCACAGAGATCCCCATGTTCTTGGTTCACGCTAAGGGACTAAAGAAGGACGGGACTCATCCTGTCTTCCTGTACGGCTACGGTGGCTTTGAGGCTTCAATCCAACCATACTACAAGTAAGAACCAATGCTGTTATAATCTCATCAAAATCAGTGTTATCACTTTGCAAAGCCAAACAAACAAAGATGAGTATGAATCAGTTAACTGAGTAACAAAGTTTTCTATAATTATTATTCTTATTATTCTTCTTCTTATTATGATTATTTTTTAGAAAAGCTGAACTGATGAGTTTATAATCAACTGAACCCGTTATCTCCTGGAATATTATCCTGTGTAGTCATGCCACAAAACATCATCCTAAATGAATAAAATGTTGAAGTCTGATCTTAGTTTGATTTCAAAGTAGTATTTTGTCATTACACTGTGATGTTTATGCGCTAACACGGCTTTCTGCCCTTCAGCGTTGCTTACCTGCTGTATGTGAGACACCTGGGAGGGGTCCTGGCCGTGGCAAACATCCGAGGGGGCGGAGAGTACGGCCTCACCTGGCACAAAGGTGAGCACACAAGAGGGAAAACATTAAATATACACCGCAAGTTACACCGACTCTGTCTTAAAAAAAAAAAACGTTTTCTGTGGCGTCGTGTGTTTGTAGCTGGAACTTTGGGGAACAAGCAGAACGGCTTTGATGACTTCCAGTGTGCAGCCGAGTATCTGATCCAGGAGAAATACACTGCAGCGAGCCGCATCGCCATCAACGGAGGTTCTAATGGAGGACTGCTGGTGGGTGAGTACCGGACTAATGTGTGTGTTTTACAGCGGTAGAGAGTGACTGTGGAAACGTATCGAGCAACCGTTGATTACATGTCAAAATAAGGAGTTAAAAGCGTGCAGAATGAATCCTGCTGTTCTTTGAATCTACTCTCCATTATCATAAACAATTAAAACCTCAAAGCTTCTAACATATCGCACATCTACGTCTCGAGCTAACTACGAGCCAGCTTCGATGGCTGCCCCCCCCCCACTCCCAGCTGCCTTGATCACACTGCTGTGTATTCTTTGTATTACATCTCAGGCATAATTACTAATGTCAAATTCATCTAACTGCTTAGCTTCAATTAATTAAGTTATTAAACAGCACATTAAACAGTGCTCAGTCTCATCATTTACCAAAAGCTGGCTGCCATATGGCGCCGCACAAACCTTCCTCCTCTGTGTGTGAGAGTGGTCGTCAGAGGAAACAGGCATGTTGTGTTCATGTGAATATGTTTTCTCTGATAATAACTTTGGGATGCACACACACACACATACAGCGGCGTGCGTGAACCAGCGCCCGGACCTGTTTGGCTGTGCGGTGGCAGAGGTGGGGGTGATGGATATGCTGAAGTTCCACAAATTCACCATCGGTCACGCCTGGACCTCCGACTACGGCTGCTCTGACGACCCCAAGCAGTTCAA